ATCACGTCACAAGGCGTTCCGCTGTCCAGATTTGGGGGAGGGGATAGTTGTGGTGGTGATGGTGATGGTGATGGGGGGGGGGGGGGGGGGGGGGGGGCCCTCCAGGTCCACCATCCATGGCGAGGCTGCGGTCAACGGGACTCGACCTTGCCTGACCTTGCCTGATCGGGATGAGAGTGCTTGACCTACCCGTACACCCGTACACCGTGCAGCGGGTTCACGACCTCGACGATACTCTCGTACAGCGGTATCACCACAGCGCGCGGTTCCCTGTACGAGAGTAGGAGAGCAGGTGGGGTACCTGTGGTGGTGCCCTGGTTAGGTCTAGCGGTCGAGCTGCTAGGCAGCTAGCTAGGGCGGGGGGGCGGTCCAGTCTGCTATTATTATGACTGTAATGACACGTACAGTAATATGGAATACGTACCATATTACATACGTATCAGCACGTATCGATACTGCAAGACCACAAAAGTATCAAGTCCACAAGTATCTCTTTCACCATCACTCCCGCCCGGCCTCTCCGCACCCGCTGGACGCCTTCCACGCTACGCTCAAGCCTCCCAGCTACAGGTACACAGGTTGGAGTTTTGGGTAGTACTCAGCATGGGACCTTTTTTTTTTCTTCTTCTTCTTCTTCCTTTGTTGAGAGTTTGTACGAGTAATAATATATACACCTGTGTTTTTATCCGAATCTTCTTTTCTTCTCACATCTTCTTTCCTTTTCTCGGAGAGACCTGTTATGTCCCGAATACACCGTACACTGTAGAGAGAGAGGCCATGGCAGAGATCGAGAGGGGGAGGAGGAAGGGGGGGGGGGGGGAAAAAGAAAAAAAAAAAAAAAAAAAAAAAAAAAAAAAAAGAAAAGAGGAGAAAAAGGGAAAAGAAGAAGGGGGAGGAGGGGGGGGGGGGGGGGGGGGGGGGGGGGGGGGGGGGGGGGGGGGGGGGGAGACAGACGTACTGTCTTGACATGTTCAGAATCCCTTTCAAGGGCATCCATCAAAGACTTCTGAGAAACAGAGCCCCAAAACANGGGGGGGGGGGGAGACAGACGTACTGTCTTGACATGTTCAGAATCCCTTTCAAGGGCATCCATCAAAGACTTCTGAGAAACAGAGCCCCAAAACAACCAAATCTATAATTCTAGCAATAGTTTGGTCCCCCCCTCCCAAAAAAAAAAGGGCAAGGTGAGTGAGTGAGTGTGAGTGTGTGTGTGTGTGTGTGTGTGTGTGTGTGTGTGTGTGTGTGGACGGTAGGAAAAGACACCCACCCACACACACACACACACACAACTAATCTGCTCCAGGCCTACTTTAGAGGAGATCGTCGTCATGAGCTCGTCCCGTCCAGATTCCCTTGGCACCCTTGTTTTATTTATCGTATTTTATCATTTTATCAATTATTATTCTATTGTTTCAATATTCTTTTTTCTCTCTTTTATATATATATATATGTATATGTATATTATAATAATACTTTTTTTTTTCTCCATTTTTGTTTTATTCTGCTCTATGCTGAATCCTCTCGCTCCTCCTCACAATCTATATATTTATAACATTCCATTCCTCTCTCCTTCCTCACGCCTCTCTCTTGTCTCGGCCTACTACTCTCTTCTTCTCCTTTTCCCTCTCTGTCAACATCATTCTACTCTACACACTCACTACCCGTCATCACCCATTCATTCTTTATTCCATCATTCTCCTTTCAGTGTGTGGTCGCCCCCGACCTCTCCTGTCTCAGTCCCGACAGGCAGTAGTGTTTCCTTCTTTTCTCTGCCTCGATACAGGAAGAGACGCTCTCATTCCATTCCCTTCCTATCCCGATACTTGATATATATCTTTCCATCCACAAAGAGCGTCCATCCCCCCCTTTTGTTTTTTCCCCCTTCTCTTGACAGAGGAACGCATTCCCTTCCATCACGGCACTGTCACAAGAAAACCAAAACCTTCCTTTTTTCTTATCAATATCATTATTTGAGCTAGTTTGTTGAATCGTAACAAACCATTCGAAGAAGAGAAAGAATAGCTCCTCGTATACATCCTCTCTCTCCTCCTCCCCCCCCCCCCCCCCCCCCTCCCCCCTAAAGAAGAAGAAGCATATCTTATACACACACGACACACACGCACAAACACGCAACGCCATCCAAGATGCAGTTCGAGCCCGAGTTCCGGTTCGACATGGACGACAGCTTCACCGGCATGTGCGGCCCCTGCCCCTCGACCACGGCCAGCTTCTCGTCGGCACCGTCATCGGCCTACGACCCCTTCACCCCCAGCTCCCGACGGTCGACGCCCAACGAGCTCAGCTTTGACAGCATCGAGGGCGGCTACAGCGCTCACCAGCCCCTGGACATGACCCCCCCCTCGGCCAAGTACTTCATGACGACCCCCGTCAAGCACGAGCAGGAGCACGGCCACCAGCATCAGCACCGGCACCAGCACCAGCATCAGCACCACTTCGGCGGCAGCCTCTCCGGCTCGTTACCGACAACTCCGATGAAGAGGATCGACAGCTTCTCGACGGAGTACGACCTTCTGGACATCAACATGGGCACCATGACGCCCTCCAACAACCACGGCAGCGGCGGCGCCGTCAACGGCTCCTTCCACATCCACCACGACGGCACCATCAGCCCCGAGGCCGCCATGGGCCCCTCGTCCTACATGATGACGCCCACCCAGAGCCTGTCGGGGTCCGACGTGGCCGACTCGTCGTCGTCGTGGAGCGTGCCCAACGAGTCCCCCGTCCACCCTTACTTCCAGCCGAGGGACGGCCTCGTCTCCTTCAACGACATCGAGTCCCTCGACCTGGACCGTCACTCCCTCTCCCCCATGTACCATCCCGGCCACTACCACCCGGGCCCCCCCCCCACGCCCAGCAACGCCCGCCGCGTCGAGCGCAAGATGATGCTCCACGAGGCCCAGAGAAAGACGGGCGAGCTCCAGCGAGCCCAGCAGATCCGTGCCTCCCGCAAGGTGTCGGCCGGCGACGGCCCCTCGTGCGAGCCCGTCGAGTCTTCCAACGGTTCCGTCGATGTCGTCCGTCGTGCCATGTGCAAGTGCGACTACCCCGGCTGCCACAAGGCTTTCCGCCGTAACGAGCATCTCAAGCGTCATAAGCAGACGTAAGTCCCTCCCTCCCCCTCCCATCTACCCATCTATATCTACATCTATACATCTCTCTCTCTCTCTCTCTCTCATATATATATATATATATATATATATGCAACATGCTACCCATCTACATCTGATACGTATCGCTGACGTTCAGAAAAACCAATACACAGTTTCCACGGGGAAGGACCTAACCGATTCTCGTGCGAGTTCTGCGGAAAGGACCAGTTCAACCGCCAGGACAACCTCAACAACCACCGAAAGCTGCACGCCCGTCCCAACAGCCGCAACAGGGGCGTCGAGTTCATACCCGCCGCCGTGCCCATCATCGACCAGGAGGAGCGCAGCCGCAAGAGGAGGGCCCCTCCCAAGTCAAAGGCTGGCCACAAGAGCGAGTACGATTACTAGCTGTCTCAACTCAATGCCACGATCTGTGGGGTGTGTCTAAAACAGTCATCGGAATTAGTGCCACTTCCTAATGAGGAAATGTCCACTGGTCCAACCGGCCCACATTTTTTTTTTCTCTTCCTTTTTTTTCTTTATCTCTTTCCCGCCTTTCTTGTTGCTCCTCTTTTCTAGTTCATCGCGGGAACTTTCGTGTCGGCGAGGCAAAGTCATTGCCAACCCGCTCTGTCCTATCTCATTCGACCCTTCCTCTTCTCTCTCATCGGGACACGCCCACACACAGACGCGTGTCACCTATTCTATCTTTCTTACCACAACCTGCCCCTTGTTTTTATCTTTATTCCTCCCCTTCGTTTCTGTTTTGGTTTCCGGTCCAAGAAACCTCCCCCCCCCAAAACTTGATATACGACATCTCTTTCACATTCTTATTCTGGCATTCATACCGCAATGACGGAATCTCGGCTACAAGGCGCGCACGGGTATAATTTTTTTATTATTTCCTACTTCTCTCTACAATCTTCTTTCCTTTTGTCCTATCCTCTTATCCATGTCACTGCCATCATTATCAGTGGATACCAAACAAACATTTTTCCTTGTCACTCAAATCTGTATCTATCACGGGAGGTTTTCGTCTTCTTTTTTTTTTTTTTTTTCCCACGTCTCATATTGCGATTCTCCTTACGGCCAAGATGTATATTTGTCTTTCTGCGTACCATTTACTCTGCTCTCTACATCGGATGGGTAGTTGGGGGAAAAAAAGATACCTGTTTTTTATCGTTTAGGGAAATATGGAGGGCGGTTGATGGTGGACATGTTGGGAAGACGTGCCCGACTGTATCACATTGATATTGTAATATGTAATACAATATTCTTATCACATATCTTGACTTTTTCATGGTGACGTCGGTGTGCAATGGCTCTTGGGCGTGTGCGTGTGCATCTGCGTGTGTGGACTTGTAGGATGATTGACAGTGACTTACAATGGTTCTTCCATGACTTTGACTTGAAATGCTGCCACTCTACTACCGGCTGAATACGACATGTCCAAGACAACTTCATTAGGGGGGGGCACTTCTATCCGCCTCTTCCCAGCTGTGTCTTGTGTGCGCACAGAGTAACATGTTGCCCGATCGGGATGCCGTCTGAGACTTGGCTCCCCCCCTCCCCTGCCACCCCACCGCAGTAGTCCGTACGGTTGGCTGGTCTGTTGTTGCGGGTGGAGAAGATGGAGATGACTGGCGAGCAATGGGAGAGAGATGGAGAGAGAGAGAGAGAGGGAGAGGGAGAGGGAGAGATGGAGAGAGAGAGAAAGTGAGGTAGATAGAGATGCAGCCCTCTCGGGTTAATTGGTGGATCACGGTTGGCGATCAGACATGAAAGGTGGTGTGGCAGGGACCAAAAAAAAAAGTGGATGAACCGTCTCTTTATATTTATCTCTATATTCATATTTTAGGATCTTTGATAACTGCTATTTACACATATTTCTATCGAATCATATCTGATTGAAAATTTTGTCTCCTTTTTTTTTTTTTTTTTTTTTTTTTTTGTCAGTCCCTTTGTTTTTCGGTGTCCTCACTCCAGTCTCAGATGTCAGGCACGGCAGGTTATGAGAAGAGGCCTGAGCGGGTCGAATGAATTTCTCTCTCTATTATGTAAAGTACGACTTTACAGATGCAGGTGCAGATGCAGGTGCAGAGGATGGGAGTGGGGATTGATGCAAGATGGGTGTTTTTTTTCTTGGGGGGGATTTTTTTTTTTGAGAATCCCCCCCCAAAAAAAAAAAAAGTTTGGTAAAGAAGACATGCAGGTTGGAGTTATGTACCTGTAGACTGATGATGCGTGGTCATGTGATTCTGGAGTTGATGATACGATGAAAGGAGGAGGGAGGAGGAGGAGGAGGAGGTTGGGCTGTCTTGGTAATGAATTATTATTAATACTTATACAGCAAGTACGAGGTAATAACTCGGCCATCAGAACGGTTCAGGATATGACATGCAGGATCGTTACTAGCAGAACATGCTTACATAATATATTACGGGATATTGGTACTCGTATAGGTAAAAGAGCAGACGAAGTGCGTGCATGACGACACGACGACATCAGACTATGCTTGTTCCTGGTGCGTCGAGGATGGACCTGGGGGTGTGTAGTATAATGCGGGTGTGATATTATAGTGCCAGCGCATGGAGATGGAGTGTACGGATCAGTGTGTAGGGAGTATATCACGGAGTATATCAGAGACTGTAATCTGTACTATAGGGCATAGTATAGAGTCATGTGCAGATCTGTATAGAGTGTACGGAGTGCGTCATGTGTAATAATACTATATAACGGAGATGGAAGGATAGATAGATGTATGATGGAGCAGCTCGGTCTAACCCGACAGAGACTCCCCCTGCTGGTCGCATCCTCCGTACGAGTGACTGTTAGCTCGCGATAGCGGCGATTTGGAACCAGCCGGTCGGGCTTTGGCATATCGATATTGATACCATTGTACCATGACGATAATCGTCCGCCGCCCCTCTCTCTCTACTCGGCATCACTGCCGTCGGTACTGCTACGTCGGCGGGAAAGACGACTGCCACCAAACGGTACCGGTGTCACATCACATCAGTCATGCCAACATGACGATGATGCTCGTAGTCGACATCACCGCCGGCACTACAGTCTACAGCGCACGTAGCAAGTTCCGAGACAGTTCTGCACCTTCGACTCTCGGCAGCCCTGAAGATTACCGTACTCGCCTCCAGAAACACACGGTAGCATTGCCTACGACTCGGGGGGGGGGGACACTGTCAGTAACTCTCGATGTCGTATTGCGGAATGCCAATCAGCATCACACGCCGGGTGGAACGCAAGTAATCAAGAATCATGGCCATGTCGGGAGAATCACGTCAAAGAAGTAAAGAGAAAGGAAAAAAAAAGCAAAGTATGTCGAGCGACGAGCAGAGAGAGAAAATAAAAGATACATGGCAGTGAGAAAAACAACGATCAAAAAAAAAAAAACAACAACATGATAATACCTGGTAATATTAATAATAAGAAGTATCCGAGGTCTGTGCTCACCGTCCTCAGCTAAGGCAAGCAAGCCTACAGGATGTATTTGCCCGGCAGCACAGCACAGGCGCGGGGGGGGGGGGGGGG